TTATTACGAAAGTTGAACCACTAAAGAGCATGCGGGAATGATAAACAAGAGTATTGACGTTAAGTGTCTCAATCTTCTAGGCTGGCCGTGAACATAACGATTTTTTTTTAAAAAAAACTCTAATATTCATTATAATAGATTTTTATAGTGCGGATATTATTAATTAAAACGTAGATTTCGAACACTGAATATATAGTCATAAAACCAAAAAAAAAGAGAATTATTAAAGATGTCTAATTATTATGAAAGATGAAGCGATGAAAGATGTCTAGTTTTTTGAAAAAAACATCAATATATATATCGATTTATTACAGTAGATTTATATAGTGCGCATATAGATTAATTGGAACAATGAACATAGTCATTAGTCACAAAGGGAAAAAGAAAAATTCATAAAAAGATAAGGTGTTAACAACTAAATCACGAAAGAATATGACTATTTCGTTGAGCTTTGAGTTTAATGATATTTTTTAAAAAAGAGTGTCACTATCGTTAACTATTTTTCAAAAAAAAGTGTCAATTTTATCAAATTCTTTTAAATATCATTATTGGTTTATTACAGTAGATTTATATAACGCGGATATAAATTAATCAGCACAATAACATAGTCACAAAGTTAAAAAAAATAAAAAAAATTATAAAAGATATTGATTGTTAGTAAAGTTAAATCATTAAAGGGTATGATTGTCTCGTTAAATCTTGAACATAACGAATTTTTAAAAAAAATGTGTCACCATCGTTTATTATTTTTTAAAAAGTGTCAATATTGTTAACGTTTTTTCATAAAAAACACCTATATTGATTCATTACGGTAGATTCATGTAGCATGAATATAGATTAATCAGAATAACAAACTAGCCATTAAGTCCAAAAAAGAAAAATCACAAAAAATAAGTCGTTGAGTGCAAAAGATCACTAAAGAATATTATCGTCTCGTTGAGGCTTGAATGTAACAAAAAAAAATTCAAAAAAATGTGTCACTATACTCAACGTTTTTTCAAAAAGTAAAACGTTAATATTAGTAATTTTTTTATTTAAAAAAAGCATCAATATCGACTCATTATAGTAGAATTCTCTAGCGCGAATACAGATTAATCAGAAGAACAAATATTGTCACAGAATCAAAAAAAAGAAAAAAAAACTTTAAAAGGTAAGTTGATTGATTGTTACTAAAGTTGAATCACTAAAGAATTTGATTGTCTCATTGATCCTTGAACGTAACATATATTTTTAAAAAAAGTGCCAATATTGTTAACAGATTTTTTTATTTTTTTTAAAAAGAAGCATCAACATCGATTCATCAAGGTAGATTTCTATAGCGCAAATATAAATTAACCAAAACAATAAATATAATAACAAAGTCAAAAAAGGAAAAACCATAAAGGATAGATTGTTGACTAGGAAAGTAGAATCACTAAAAAAATATGGTAAGCCAGAAAAGGATAAACTAAGAGGGTGTTTGGATTGATTTAAAAGTTGGTCAAACTTATTTTTAAGTTGGTTTTTGACTTATTAAAGTGTTTGACAAATATAAAAAAATAATTTAAAATAAGTCAAAAATAACTTAAGATAAGTTAGAAAGTGTTTGGCAAGGTAAAAAATGACTTAAAATAAGTTAAAGATCAAAAGTAGGTCTCCCCCTACTTTGTATTCTTTGAGTTTTCATTTTTTACTTAAAAACTATTTTTTTAAGTCAATCCAAACGGGCTCTAAGTATAAGAGATAAGTTGATTGATTGTTACTAAAGTTGAATTACTAAAGAATATGACTATCTCGTTGAACCTTGAATGTAACCGCCTTTTTTTTTTTAAATGTCACTATTGTTAACGATTTTTTAAAAAAACACACATATATTATCAACGATTTTTTTAAAAAAAACTTCTAACATCGGATCATTACAATAGAATTTTATTGAGTGAATATAAATTAATCCGAACAATGAACATAGTCACAAAATCAAGAAAAGAAAAAAAAATCATAAAAGATAAGTTAAATGATTATTATGGAAGTCGAATCACTAAAGAAAATGACTGTCTTGTTGATCGTTAAATGTAACAATTTTTTTGAATAAAGCCCTACTATCATTAATGATTTTTCAAACAATTGCGCCAACATTTAATGATTTTTTTAAAAAACACCAATATCAATTTATTACGGTCTTTTATAGCGCGAATATTTATTCATTAGAACATCAAACATAGTCACAAAGTCAAAAAAGGAAAAATTATCTATAAAAAATAAGTTGACTGATTGTTACGAAAATTGAATCACTAAAGAATATAACTTTCTTAATGAGCGTTCAATGTAACGGTTTTTTGAATAAACCGCCACTATTGTTAACAATTTTTCAAAAAATAGCGCCAATATTTAACAATTTTTAAAAAAAAACGCCAATATCAATTCGTAACAAAAAAAATTTGTAGCGCGAATATAGATTAATCAGAACAACAAATATAATCACAAAATCAAAAAAAGAAAAAATTGTAAAAGATAAATTGATTGATTTATACTAAAGTTGAATCACTACATACTATGACTATCTCGTTGAGCCTTGAAAACAACAGTTCTTTAAAAGAAGCGCGACTATAATTAACAATTAGCGGCAACAATTTGATTGATTATTACTAAAGTTGAATCACTAAAGAATTTGATTGTCTCGTTGATCCTTAAACGTAATATATATATTTTTTAAAAGTGTCAATATTGTTAACAGATTTTTATTAAAAAAAGTAGCACCAACATCGATTCATCAAGGTAGATTTCTATAGGGCAAATATAGATTATCAAAACAATGAATATAATCACAAAGTCAAAAAAGGAAAAATCATAAATGTTAGATTTTTGAATGGGAAAGTAGTCACTAAAAATATGGTAAGTTGACTGATTGTTACTAAAGTTGAATCACTAAAGAATATGACTATCTCGTTGAACCTTGAATGTAACCACCCATCTTCTTTTTTTTATAAAAAAAATGTCACTATTGTTAACAAATTTTTTTTTTAAAAAAGTACTAACATCGGACCATTACAGTAGATTTTTATAGAGCGAATATAGATTAATCAGAACAACGAACCTAGTCACAAAATCAAAAAAAGATAGGTTAAGTGATTGTTACGAAAGTTGAATCACTAAATAATATGACTGTCTTGCTGACCGTTGAATGTAACGATTTTTTTTAATAAAGCACCACTATCGTTAATGATTTTTCAAAAAATAGCGCCAACATTTAATGAATTTTTCAAAAAACACCAATATTAATTCCTTACAGTTTTTTATAGCGCAAATATTTATTCATTAGAACATCGAACATAGTCACAAAATCAAAAAAAGGAAAAATTATACATAAAAAATAATAATTTGACTGATTGTTACGAAAATTGAATCACTAAAGAATATAACAGTCTTAATAACCTTTGAATGTAACAATTTTTTTTAATAAAGCGCCGCTATTGTTAACGATTTTTCAAAAAATAACGCCAACATTGAACAATTTTTTTTTAAAAAAAACACCAACATCAATTTGTTACATAAGATTTTTTTAGCGCGAATATATATTAATCAGAACAACAAACATAATAACAAAAAAATAAATAAATTATAAAAGATAAATTGAGTGATTTTTATTAAAGTTGAACCACTAAAGAATATGACCGTCTCGTTGAGCCTTGAACACAACGTTTCTGTAAAAAAAACGCGACTATAGTTAACGACTTTTTAATAATTAGCGGCAACATTTTTTAAACAATTTGTTTTTAAAAAAAATCATCAAACCAGTAGATATTTACCGCGCGAATATAGATTAGTCAGAACAACGAACATAATCACAAAATCAAAAAAAGAAAAATCTTAAAACTAAGTTGCCTGACTGTTACTAAAGTTGAATCACCGAAGAATATGACTGTATCGTTGAGCCCTGCCCGCAACAATTTTTCAAAAAAAGCGCGACTATCGTCAATGACTTTTAAAAAAAAACGCGCCACTATTATTAACGAATTTTTAAAATAAGCACCACCATTATTAACGATATTTTAAAAACCGCACCAATATTAGTTCATTACAGTAGAATTTCTATAGCGCGAATATAGATCAATTAGAACATCGAACATAGACGTGACGCCATAAAAGGGAAAAAAAATGAGACAGGCGGCCGATAAGCGCGCCACATCATGGTAAAAAATCCAGCTAGGAGCAGACATATCAAATATTCACTTGTTTTGGTAATTAGAACAACCCCACCCCCCCTAAACCCCGTACCCCAACCTCACATTGTCATTTTCACCCTAGCAGTAGCCGTACATATCCACTATATATATATATATTCTCTATTGCTTTTCCTTTTTCATTTTACTGTTCGAAAATTAAGAAAAAAAGCAATTGTAAGTAATACTAGAACTTGTTTTTGTTAATTTTGAATGATTAATGATGTTTCCTTTGTGATTTTAATTTGATGTATACATTTGTTTTATGTTTTGTTTATTGAAAGGGCAATCGATCGAGACGTGGAACAAATCAATTTGTATTGACTAGCGTGCGTTACTCTCTGGTAAGTCAGCTCTTAATCTGCTAATCAGTAATCAGTAATCACCATTTTTCATTTTAATTAAACTTCCATTAATTAATTAATCTACTTTTGGATCCCAAAATGAGCATCTGGAGTTATGGACTATTCTGGAACTGTGTGTTTTTGTGTGTGTGGATTTTCAATAGGTCCACACAGAATCTGAAGCTTTTTTCTATTTTACTTTATACACAGAAAAAATAATATTCTAAAGTCTTTTTTAACTTTTATGCACTTTTTTGTTGATGGAAGAGTCAACAGAGTCTTTTTTTTTTTTTTTTTTTTCTTCTGATTTGTTGGTTTCTTGCAGTTTTTTTTGTAAGGTAATGAAAAGTCCACTTTTTTTTTAAGTTTCTTTTTTTGGGTTTCTTTTATCATCACTTTTTCTTGTATATATACTGGTTTATTTAGCCCCATTTATAAAACCTTTCATTTTCTTCTTTTATGGTAGTGATCCCACTGTTTTTACAATGACAGCTATAAGCAGTCAAAACCCATATCTCTTTGATTGAATGAATGAAATACTCTTCTTAGGGTTTCCTTTTTATTGTTCTAGCCAACCCATTTTTTTCTCTTTCTCATTTGCTTAAAGAGAGGAGTTAGAGGGGAAGGTGCAATAAGGGTTCTTGGTTGTCTTATACCAACCCCCTTTGCTTCTTCTTTAATTTTGTGGGTTTGGGTTGTTGAGTTTTATGTTCATCACTAATCTTGGACTAAAAAAAAAATACTTTTTTGTGGGTGTATAAATATTAAAAGTGTCTTGGGAGTTTTGATGGGAAAGTTGGGATCTTGAAAGTGATTAAAAAGAGTCTTTTTGAGATTAAAGTTTTGATTTTTTGATGAGTTTTGGAGGTTTTATTGGAAGTAGTAGTGGAGGAAACGGTGGTTCTGGGGTTTCAAGATTGGTGGGTGATAGTTCATACGAAGCCATGCCTACTGCTACTATGGCTCAGTCACAGCTTATCACATCATCTTTATCTCATTCAATGTTTAACTCTTCACCGTTATCTCTTGCTCTTGTAGGCCTCCTTTAAATTAATACTTATTATTTTTTTGTTGGTTGGGAATTGGGATTAATAGTGGAATTTTTCAGAAACCGAAAATGGAAGGTGCTGGTGATTTGAGTTTTGATGCTGCTGCTGTAATGGGAAGGAACTCCAGAGATGATGAGTACGAGAGCAGGTCTGGGACTGGGAGTGACAACTTGGATGGTGTTGGATCGGGCGATGAAATGGAAACTCACATTGGTAGCTCATCGAAATCGGCAAAGAAGTACCATAGGCATACTCCATACCAAATTCAAGAGCTTGAGGCGTGAGTGTTAAACCACTTTATGTTTATAGTTTGTTTGTGAATGTTTTATCCATCTGTTTTGTGCTGACAGTTGCTTTAAGGAGAATCCACACCCCGATGAGAAAGCAAGGCTGGAACTTGGTAAGAGATTGACATTGGAAAGCAGGCAGGTTAAGTTTTGGTTCCAGAACAGGAGAACCCAAATGAAGGTAAATGACAACACATTCACATTATTTTCTTGTGTGAGATTTGTTTCATTGTGTGAATGTATAAGTGAAAACCTACATTGTTTCAGACCCAGATGGAACGTCATGAAAATTCAATGTTGAAGCAAGAGAATGATAAGCTTCGCATTGAGAACATAGCGATGAAGGACGCGATGAGAAGTCCAGCTTGCCCACATTGTGGTGGTCAGGCAATTCTTGGTGAGATACACATTGAAGAGCATCATTTGAAGATTGAGAATGCTCGACTGAGAGATGAATACAATAGGATCTGTGTCGTGGCAAACAAGTTTCTGGGTAGGCCATCGGAATCTTTCCATGGTCCTATGTCAGCTGGAATGGCTAATTCAGGTTTGGAACTTGCTGTGGGAAGAAACGGCTATGGTGCTATGAATTCTGTTGACACTGCATTGCCAATGGGACTTAATTTTGGCAATAACTTCTCAAGTGCTTTACCAGCGATTTCACCTAGGCCCACCCTGAGCATGGCTGGTGTAGGTGTATCCTGTGATAAGAACATGTTAATGGAGCTTGCTTTTGCTTCCATGAATGAGCTGATTAAGCTGGCTGATATCGGTGCTCCTCTGTGGCTTAGAAACTTTGATGGAAGTGCGGAAGAATTGAACCTTGAGGAGTATGCAAGGTCTTTTCCTCCATGTATTGGCAGGAAACCTGCCCACTTCTCAGCAGAAGCAACCAAGGCAACTGGTACTGTGATGATGAACAGTCTGGCTTTGGTTGAGAGTCTGATGGACACAGTAGGTTCCTTCATCCTGAAACCTGTAGTTGAGATTTTGATTTCTTTGAACCATTGCTGAATGTGAAAATGTTTCTCCAATTTGCTTCTTGACATATGATTTTCTTTTTTATTCAAGGGGTGTTGCGTTAATGGCTGCATGTTCTTTTGATTAAAATAACTTTTAACTTTCAAGTTGAGGGAAAAAGCATATTGTTGGCTTTTGTTCTTGCATTCCATGTAAATGTAACTTCTACTTATGCAGAGTCGATGGATGGATATATTTTCATGCATTGTTGGCAGAACCTCTACAATTAATGTGATCTCCAACAGCTCAGGTGGAAGCAAGGATGGCAATTTGCATTTGGTACGCTTTTGTTATTTTGGTGGGAGTCACCCATCCTAAGTTACTTTTCTTGCCTGTCCTGCAATAGAGGTCTGAAAATATTGTTTTGCAGATTCAAGCTGAGTTCCAAGTTCTGTCTGCTTTAGTTCCTGTCCGTAAAGTAAAGTATCTACGCTTCTGCAAGCAACATGCTGAAGGTGTCTGGGTGGTGGTGGATGTGTCTATTGATGCTATCCAGGAAGGTTCAATACCGCTTGATGGAAATTGCAGGAGGCTCCCTTCCGGATGTATCGTGCAAGACTTGCCCAATGGGTGCTCCAAGGTAACTAGTCCATTTATGTTTTTCCATTTAGTATTCCATGCAGTGCTCAATAAGTTGTTGAAATTTACCCAGCTAATTGTTCAATGTAGATTTTTTTTCTTGTTGGTTTGTGTGTTTATTTGTTCTTAATGAAGGTTTCTCTTGTCATTTTGCTCACATAGTTTTTTTTATGCACTTCATACTATTTGGTTTTGGTGTGTTGATTCTCTTGACCTTTGCTTCTGAAATATATTTTATCCTCAGCATCTTTTGGAAGTGCTGTCAGTAAAATAATCTGACAGTTGTAGCCTAAGAATCTGAACCTTCTATTGTTATTTTATTCTGTAGATGCTTCTGTATGTTTATTTATGTTATCATCAAATTCAAGGCTAGATTTTTTCATATTTGCTTGGTTAGGCTTCTGTCAGATTAGAAAATTAGTTAATCGAGGATATCAACCTTACAGTATTGCAAGATGCCTCAACTCCTTTTTCTGTGTTTTGAACTTTTAAATTTATGATCATTGTGTGAAGGCAAAGCCTCGGTAGTTTCATCTTAACTGTATAAGCAATATAGTGTGATGCTTCTGTCCAACACCCTTGCACGTGCTTGTGAACTGTGCTTGCATGGTGTTTACTTGATACCACTTGTGTTTGACCTCAATATAGACTTCTATTGTACTCAACCAATCTAGAAATTCAAAAGTGATCTTATTTGTGTAATAGTAATTTCGTTTGACTTATCCTCTTGTATTCTATTCTTTATTTTCTTGCAAAATCACAACTTTTCACATTTTGCACCGAGTTTGCTCTTTTGCATCCCATCTTTTTGAGTGATTATAAACAAGTAACTCTAAATCATTTCCTTGCATCCTATCTTTTCATTCCGGAATTCCAACTTCGCGTAAACTAAAGATACTGGATACACAGATTGATCTATGCCCTTTTGAAGCATATAATCCTTTAATTGTCTTGAGTTGCTGGTTAAGTTGCCTCCATGCAGACCAATTGATGTCAAGGCTTATCTTAATCTACTCAATTTCTGTGTACAAAACTGCTAGCAAAATTTTGACGGAAAATTTCAGGTTATTTGGATTGAGCACACGGAATATGATGAGAGTATCACCCACAATTACTACCACCCTTACATCAGGTCTGGCCTGGGGTTTGGTGCCCAACGGTGGATTGCCACCCTACAAAGGCAATGCGAGTTCTTGGCAATCATGTCTTCTGCTGTGCCCAGTGGTGATAATTCAGGTATCACGTCATATTGTTCATTTGACACTCTCCAACTTTGAAATGATAATGGATTTCTTATCAAGTTTCATTATTGGCAGTGGTTAGTTCCAGTGGACGGAGAAGTATTGCAGTGCTGGCTCGACGTGTGACTCGCAGCTTTTGCGTTGGGGTTTGTGCGACCTATTACGACTGGGAATCAATCCAATCAGGGACTGCAGAGGAGAGTAAGTTGATTATGAGGAAGGGCGTTGGTGAACCTGGTGACCCTAATGGTATGGTGTTGAGTGCCAGCAGGAGCCTCTGGCTGCCGGTAACACATCAACGTTTGTTTGACTTCCTGCGAAATGAACAGACAAGAAGTCAATGGGATGTCTTGTCCCAGGGTGGTTCCGTGCACCCAATAGTCCACATTGGCAAGGGTCAGGATCTTGGCAATAGCATCACTCTGTTTCGTACTAGTGTAAGTGAAACTGGTGTGGCTTTGGCACAAAACCACACAAATTAGTATTAACCATTGATTGAAATTGTGAATGACTGTTTTGGCTTGACTTGCAGGTGGCTAACAGCGATGGTAGCCAGAACAGTATGTTGACCTTGCAAGAGTCGTGCACAGATGTATCCGGTTCAATCATAGCATATACATCACTTAATAGTGGAGACATGAATGTTGTGATGAGTGGTGGAGATTCCTCCTGCGTGACATTCCTTCCATCTGGATTTGCAATCATTCCAGATTGTTATGAGAATTCCAACGGGGTAGCAGCTGGCAATGGAATACTCGAGAATGGTGGTAAGATTAATGGGTGTCTATTGACCATGGGATTCCAGATACTAATGACTAACCCGCCTACAGGAACTCTCACTATGGATTCAGTGAACACTGTGAACTCCCTCATCACCCGTACAGTGCAAAACATCAAACTTGCTTTCCAGTGCAATTAATTGGCACTACAAGTTGAGTTGTTGCTTTCTGTGTTGTGGTGCAAGTAGTAGTATACAAGGAAGGTTATAGAAAGAAGACGGGTTTGAGTCAATGAACGAACCGAGGTGGTTCCTCAGGTTGACTAGTTAGTTAGTTAGTTAGTATTTGGCATGGTGTTTGATGGAGGAATTGGTGTGGTTCGCGTATTGACTTTGGTGGCCCTTTTAGATTATTGTGTCATATGATTCTCTGTTGGTTTGAATCAATCTTGTGTTTTTGGCTGTTGTTAAACGCTCTAAACTTATTTGCATGGTTTTTAATATATTTGGATTTTCGTTCATCGATATCTCATTATGATTTAAAGATCATCCCTATTCTGCAAGGGATACTTACAGTTACAGCAAAGTATTCAGTTGATTTTACCTACAAAGGTAGAGAGAGGTAAGATTAACATACTTGGGGCTTCACTTGTTTGATTATTAATTTCACTGCTGGCTTCTTCCTTTTGTTTTTAATTTCATTTATTAGTAGTATTATTTTTTTTGCTCCTTTTCTTTATTGTTAATATGACTTGTCACTCTAGATCAGTATCACAATAACTTCTACATCATATCTTCATTTATTATTTTTTCAAATCATTATTTTCCTTATCAAAAAACAACTTATTTTTCAGCATATATTATGATAAATCAGTATAACTTAGAGTATATTAATACTGTTGCAATATACTATGAGACTAACATAATATATAGTATTGTACTAGAGAATTTTGATTTTAAAAAAAACGTTCTTTAGTCCTTTACGATACTCACATGATATATATACAAAGCGTATTATGCTCTCTCCCCAAGAAAGATAAATAAATAGTGGTCCAAAAGTGGAACTTTATCACTTGTTTCTTTCCCAAATAGTCTAATTTTTGTGACAATTACAAAGAGTAGCAAACTCACCACGATAAAAATAAAATAATGGGAGGCAAAAGAGTTGGAAGTGAAAATATCCAACATGACATGTGAAAACTGTACTACTCAACTCATTTAACGTTAACTTCAATTTTTGTACAACATATACTATGATATATACATATGGTTCTTATTTCTTACGAAAAGATAACATGTGATTTTCCCCTCTGGTTGGTTCCTGCATTGGGAACTTCAATGAGGTTTCATGCATGGAAACAAGGACGACATATATAGACTGTTCGACTAAATTTTTATAATAAATTTTTTTTTTTTTTTGTAAGAAATGATTATTTGAAAAATATTTTTGACGAATAGCTACTTATGCTTTGATTGTTCAATTTTAAAATATTTCTGTCAATATTAGAGCAACAATTTATGTTCCAAAATCGATCTCAAGGAAAAGTTATTTTATACTGTTGTTTCAACATATACATTTATATGTATATATGGAGATGGTGCCACCAATCAATTAGGACAGTAATTATTTAAGGCTTCGAACATGGACACATTATGGAATTTGTCTACTGTTGTTAATTTAAAATGCCAAAATAATCACTCAAGTCCCATGCATATATAAATACATGTTACGTATATATTTATTGATTTGGTCTTGAAGAAATTAAATTGAGTAGGAAATAATACCTAACTTAAAGTATAACGGAGGGTATTAACATACCATTTATGATAATTCAGAGATATATTTGTCCTTTTTCTGTATAAAATAATGTGTGATTGTAGCAGTCCATTTTAATACGTAGTTCACATGCGACCAAAATTATTGTGGCCTTCAGGGATTTTTCATTTGCTTAATTTTTTATAAAATGAAAAGTATCGTTAAATTTGATAGTTGTATCGTTATAATTATTTTTTGGAAGAACTGCATGATTAGATATACTTCACTATCATATATACTATTATTATCTATACTTTCAAAATATTACGTATCTTGCCACTAATTAAGAGTTTCCTGCCATATATTGAAGAAAATATACTTAGATACATGTATTTTTGCTATCAGATACACAAAAATAGGGAGAAAGGGGAGGGAGATTGAGGAGGGAGGCTAGCGAGATTCGTATGTAGCCCATATAAATGTGAATCGCACTAGATATATATATATATATATATATATATATATATGTATGTATGTATGTATTTGAGACACTAGATACATGAAAGAGTAGCGAGCGAGATGGGAGAGAGGTGAGAGAGGCCAGTGAGATTTGTTATGTATTCCAGATACATGTGAATCCACTTGGATACAATATATCTAGAACAAATTGCACATAATTTTGATCCTATGTATCCGGGATGCATGTATCTGGACGTATCTGTAGACACCAAAAATCTGATAAGATACATAATATTACAAATTAAAGTGTATCTAAATAATTAGCTCCTAAACTAGTGAGATTTAGGTAAGTTCCCCTGTATTTTTTCTTGTGAGCAGTCAAATATGTAACTTTCTCTTATTTAATAGCCCAAAAAAGTTAAGGGCTAATAAAGGGCCTATGATGAAATTTTGCAATTTTCCCCTAAATGTGTTGAATTGTGTTGTTTTATTTGAATCCTATTTAGTCTCGGCCCACAATTAGTATAATGAGCCTACTCAGTACTAAAAATTAGAGCTTCAAAATGAAAAGAATTATTTGGAATAAATGGTCAAAACACGTAATTATATAAATTAATATATGTTTTAACTTTAATATTTCATATGAAAGTATGCATAACTATCCATGTAGAGTTTAGTCCCACTAGAAGTGATCTATCTTGTTTGAAAATATTCTTTGACAATCTCCTTTGGAACATAATCGATCTTTTTCTTTGCTTAGGATAAATAACTTTAAGTAACGAAGACAATCTATCATTATCTTGCTTCAGAGCCGATATCTTGTATCGGTGTAAATAAATTCAATGACTTTTTATATTCTTTTTTTTTTCTTTTTTTTTAAAAATTGTTGACTTTTTTTCACCACAAACAGATTTACCGCGTGGATTGAATAGAGTCTCCTAATCTCGACAATCAATCATGAATCCCTTAAGCGCTTTGGCAAAGCATTCTGCTGCGACAAGCAACCGATTCTTATTGCATTCACCAACGTAAAATAAAAAAATTAGAAAATAGTATCAATTAGTGTTGAAGTGGATTCTTATGCCGTTGGGGCATACTATTGCTTTTCAATATTTATGAAGAGTTTTAGCTGCTCAACTGATTAGCTATTTGATTTTTCAAGTGATTGGTGAGGATATCATTTCTTAGCTGTTAAATCTGCACTCTCAACTCTCAATTTCTCCTTCCCCTTCTCCTAATAAAATATCAAAACAATAATTTGAAAAAGTATTTCAAGTGAAAAGTAATACGTATTCACATATCTTCAACTATCACAAATTCTTTTTTTTACTAGTGAAATTTATGTCAAAGACAAACTTCAACTTCCATATACGTAAAAAGAAATTCAATTTTACCTTCCACTTGGATTCTTTTCTTTATGTTTTTTAACTTCAACCTAATATTATCAAAAAACCCTCTAATTAATCTCCTAAAAATTTTAAATTAGGACGTCACTTCAAAGCAGGTCATGCTAATTGCTACTCCAACTTGCTACCATAGTCAAAATAGTAATTAAAAAAAATATATTCCCCATATAAGTCAGATATGGAACGTCACTTCCTTTAATTAAATTTTCTTTAATAGCTGTATTATGTAGTTGAAAGAGACTTAAAACGATGCATGTATTTTAAATTAATTGTTCCTTTAAATTATAATACTATTAATGTAATCGGCGTTGCAAATTGAAACCTACCCTCCAATTAAGAAAAAGGGATATATTTTATGCTCATTTACTATTTGAATAAAAGAAAAAGATCTTCAGATAATTAATATGAAAAAAATAAGAATCTCTAATAAAAAGGACATAAAATTAATACAAGTTTGTAAAAGTCTAAATTAAAAAAAAAAAAGTTTGTAAAAAACTATAAAATCAATTTTTCTCTCAAATAATGCAGATATGTTATAAGGTACTACTTAATTAACGCTACTAAAAAAACAAGGAATTAGCACGGATTAAGAAGGAGTGGAGGTCGCGGATTAGGGTAGATGGATAGAAGGGGTGGAGGGTGTCTTGCCTTGTGAAGGTTTAGCTTGTTATGATGTCTGTCGTAGTACTAGTCGTATCCATGTAGTTCCTGCTATATGTTGTTATTGTATTTGATTATCAGTATTTTACAATTTTTAATGTGGACTTTGTACTGTTTTTCTTATTAATGATTATGCCCTCTTCATTTTCTTCTTATTTTACTTGGATTTGATGCACTTGAGCTGATGGTCTTTCGAAAATAGCTTCTTTATCTCCACAAGGTAGTAGTAAGATCTGCGCATTCTATACCCTCGGGTACCAAACCCCACTTAGTGGGATTTCAGTTATTGTTGTAGCAATGAATAAAATTTCATACGTAGATGAACAATGAAAAACTTATGATAATTATTCCATATGCTACAAATTATAAGAAAATTCTATCAGCTAGAAGTATTTTAGCATCAGATTAACTAGAAAATCGATAAATTTCATATTTAGATTCATGTTTTCTGGTAGTATGATGAGATTGATTTATTGACTATTTAAAGCATAATGTCCTTATCAGTGTCAATTTTTTCTTAAATGAAGACTAATTTTCATGTGTTTGAGTCAATGACTCAATGATTTACATAGCATGAATAGTTTTGGTGAGTGTTACGTTTAATTTGCTGGTACGTATATGGATATCATATTATAATAAAAGAACATGCATGTGTAGTTTCTACAAAAATAAAATAATTAAGAAGGAAGAATAAAGTAAGTATTTGGTAGATATTTTTGTTGAGTGAATGAAATGACTAATTAATTAGCAAGAGGCACCAAATTCCTTAATTTTCTCCATTATATATGAGCCAATGGAATCATAGGAAGTTTTACAGGTTGGTCCCACGCTAATGATGTTTAATGATGGTTGTTAAAACATTAATTACTGGTTATCTACAAAAAGAATTTGGCCTTGTAGACATGATCAAATGTTATTTTTAACAAAAAGTTCTTCTTATTACTACGATGTGATAGTGAAATTAATGAGTGTTGCGGTGTGTGAATAAGTTTCACATGAATAATAGGAAAAAAGAAGTTGCTACTTATAAGATGTATGCGATACTTTTTATGATGTGTGACAAATTGATAGTGTAAGATTTGACTAATTGCCTTTACACGTTTGATTTGCTGACCGATTTGTCAATACTTACCTATAGCTTTTGAAGACATACACAAAGAAGATGATTATGGACTTGGTGGCCATAAATATTCGGAAGTTAATCTCGAAATTAGTCCATGAATAATGATAAGTCATGTGA